GGGTTTTAAGAGCAAAGACCTTGCTTACTGGACCAAAGACCTGTTCCCTCTTTTCAGGGACACACAGTAAGACCCTGGGAGGTGCAGCATTGGGGGGGGCAGAGGACTTTAAACAGGTCAAGCTTTTCATTTGTTTTGGGCCCCAGGTCATGTGTCAAATGGCAATTTATAGTAAAATATAATAACGCCGCCGGTGGAAGTCTCGGAAGCCTACAGACCTCCATCCAGTCTGTAACAGGCGAGCGTGCCAACATTGCTTCTAAAACTCCATGCAAACGTCACCGCCACAACATTCAGGCTCCGCGGCTCTGGGGGGGCGGCGTGGGGCTCGGCGAAAAGTACGGTTGTGTTGCGTCTCCCATCCCCCCCTTAATCAGCCCAGAGGCACATCCTGCCGAGTGAATGTATGAAGAATCCAGTAGTGCACCGGTGTATTCAGATTGACTTCCGGGACAAAACAAAAAAGCCCTCTTGACCCAAACCCAACAGGACATGTCGGCCATTTTTGAATGTCGCAGTAGGTGCAGTTTGGGCCGATTTTGCATATTCCTCGCTCACAGTCATAAGTTATCGAGATGGACTTCATGAGTTTGGTCAGTTCATCTAAAGACGCTTATGGGATTAAAAACAGCGTATTTGGTGAACTGTGTGGCTTGAAGGGCGAGTGTCCTGTGGCGTGTTCTTTGAATTTCAAAAGGATATCGCCGATGGATACAGGAACAGGGGGAAGCTTGTCATTACTTCAGTGTTACTTTGTCCAATCTGCACCAACCTTCACGGTCTGGACAAGGAAATTCCCGCCCCTTAGACACAGTCTACATGCTCAATATGTCAATGATAGTCATAGCGCCACGCTTACTACAAACAGGGAAGTAAAAAAAAAGCCCTTCTATCTGCATTTATGTGAAATAAGTTTTTTCTTTAATGTAAGTACGAAATTGGTGATGGGGTTGGTGTGATTGGGAGGGATGGGGAAGTAGGATGATGTTTGTGATTTTGGTTGGATGAAGAGTGGAATCTTTGTAAATAGATGTATGTGACTGTTGAGTGCGGTGAGGGTGAACGCGCTGGGGTCGGGGTGTGTAGAGGGGAGTGGGGTTAGAGGCGTCGTATGTTTGGTGTTGTTGAACTGAATTTGGGGCGTATGGAGTGTGTGGGGTTGTTAGTGGTAGAAGATTATGTTGGGGGAGGGTGTTAGGTAGTGTTGTTATTTGTGGACGGATGTGGTGAGTTGTGTATCTGCTGCGTGTGGTGTTTGCGCTGTTCTACTGGGTATGTTGGGTGTGTGTTGGTGGGTGTGGCGCGCGTGAGGTGAGTCGTGTTCTGTCTTTCAGAAACAGCTATCTATGGCCATCTCCTGGCCACATGGGTGAATTACATTACAGTCTCAACACACATTACATCCACTGACATTTCAAACCACACAATCACACAGTGGTCTACCCTTCCAAAATCAGTTAGTTCTACATAGATTTCCTCAAAACAAGCAAACAAACAACAACAAAAAATGCGTTTTCCAAAAAATTAAGCTAGGAAAAGCAGCTCTGCAGGCTATTACATATTGCTCACAAAGACAATCGAACATGGTGATACTGAGGAGCCTCTCGTTACTGTGTTCACCATTTTGGTTTAAAGAGTTAGCATGCTCTATGCTAACAACATATGCTAGCTCTATCTTGCACATTGCAAATATTCTTTAAACTAAATACTGTGAACTTTGCACATTCCTGCACAACTGTACAGCTCTTCATTTAAATAATGGCCACACATTCTCTCTTTTTATTGTCTTTATAATATTTCAAGATCATATGTTATTGTCAATTTTTCTTTGTTTATATTTTTCTCATCACATGTTTACTGTTTACTACACCGAGGCAAATTCCTTCTATGTGAAAACCTACTTAATAGGTTAATAGTAAATAGGCAATAAACCCTTCTAATTCTAATGCTAATATGTGATAATTAGCACTGAACACAAAGTAGAGCTGAGGCTGATGGGAACGTCATTAGTTTTGCAGTGGTAGATAGGAATATGACATTTTACTCAAAACCAAACATTTCCACATTTGTAGTGGTGCCAGAGATAAGTCATCCTCTGTGGTGCATCAATGTCTGTACACGATGTTGTAGCAATCCATCTGATACTTGTTATATTTCAGTCTGGACCATAGTAGTGGCCTAACATTGCCACCCAAGAGCCAGAGGGATGTCAGCAGATTGGTCAGCCTGTTTACTGTAAATAAAGTTCACCTCAAAATCATTTTTGGCTGTTTTTGACCACAATGCCGCCTTCTTTCCTGACTCTTTTTTTGGAAACATGAGTTCTACAGGGGCGTAGTACAATAAGGAAAACCCTGCACAGGTGTTCTCTATGGACCCCTTCCCACACAGGGGCGTTTCCAGACTTTTTTGACTGGGGGGGCCAGTGGGGAACTGACTTATGTGTCTCAGCTTTCCGTCATTGTCAATTTAAACAATTCCAAAATGGACCCCAGTATGCAGCGATATTCAAATACACTAGGCAAAAATAACCACATGTAAAAAACTGCATGGGATTAGCATAAAGTGGGCGTGTCTGTAAGGAGATTTAGATAATTGAGGTCAGAGGTCAAGGGAATGGCCAATGCCAGCTTTTCTATCGCCAAAATTTAGCCTAACTTTGGAGCGTCATTTAGCCCCCTTCCCGACATGCTATCATGATATGATTGGTGCCAATGGATGCACTCACTTTAGCTTTAAAACAGGGCCTACTGCAGCCTCTAAAAGACAGTGAGTAGAAGAGGTAAAGATAATGGGGTGGCACTTGGGGTGGCAAATCAGACAGGTCCCCCCTCTGGACACGCCCCTGTCCCAGCATGTACGAATATTCATCCTAGTATGTGTGTAGGCCCTCCTCACATGGGGGCTCTGTATACTCCCTTTCCCCCCTGTCCTGCACCCCTTCACTTCTACAGTCCATCAACTTGGTGAACCTTTGTTAATGCAGCACTAGGCTTTCTCAGTCCATTATATACAGTTAGTAATTCTAAAGACACATGCGATACCTAACAGCGTCTAGGTACAGTACTCTGCTATACAGCTCAATCAATAAACACACTCGTGTTCACTGTGTGGCAAATGACAGTGAGTGCCCCATTTATTGTTTTTCAAACATGTAAACATACAAGACGGTGACTTCCAAACAATCACATACAAGACATGGTGTCAACCAATAAAATATAAAATATCATATTTATCTTCATATACTGTATACCCAAACAAATGAACATTGCAAGTCTGCAAAAGCCGGAATGGTCAAGAACATTGAATTCTTAAATATATATTATAGATATATAAGGTAGATTTCATATACATAGATTCAATATGGACTTATCCACTGTTTGATTCTTCTCTACAGTCCTCTCCTCTCCTGGCACATTGCACATAACCTCAGGAATCATGTTTGGAAATAATTCAGTTTGATTGTTGGTCAAGGATGAATGAACCCCTGCAGCTTATAGTCTTAACTAGAAGTCTTAGATCAGTGCTCTTAGGCCTGGTTTACACCTGTGACCACTTATGTGTCATCAGCAAGACTGGTGCATTTAGCATACCAGTATGTGGGAGGTTGCTGGTAACTCATCAACACAGCTCCCCCTCTGGTGTCTACTGAAAGCCACAACCCCACAGCTGCAGCTAGAGATGCTCCAAAGTACTGGCTACCAATACTGGCTTACTGTGTATTTATACTCCAGTGTAATAGCAGTGATTTCTCATTTTGGCTGATACCATGGCACAAAAAAAAGAATACAAGAAGTAAATGAATGAATGTCCTTACTAATCTGGCAGTATTTCAGAATATCTAGCAAAGCCAAACTTCAGTGTTGTGCACAACAAGTTTTGCTTGTGCAAGAGCAAAACTGAATACTGCCAGCCTAGTCGAGCATTTGAATGTGCATTAGAGCTATAAAATACCATGCAACAGAGTCAGCAGGAGAGCTAAACAGCTAAACCAACATAGCTTAAAATGCACTCCATTCGGTCATGCTGGGGCGGGAACGTTGGTTAAATAGAGTGCAGCATGGGGCAACAGCATGAGGAGGCAGCTATGACACTTAATCTCTCTCAGCTGATGATTTAACAGCAGTGGGTGGTAGAGATGCTCTGATAAACTTTAATCAGGGTTTCTGCAGGTTTCAACAGGTTCAATTTAAGACTGTTTTAACAACTTCATGAATGCAATTTAAGACCTATATCACATCCATCCTCGTACAAAGGATAGAACAATCAGTGTTGGTTTTGTCGTCGTTACAGCATGATCAAAAACACTTTTAAAAGCAAGACTGAAAATTGGAACTTTGTACAAGTAACATTAACTTCATTAATCCAATCAATTTAAGACGTGTCAAAATCATATTTAACATTTTAAGGCCTTAAATCCAGATTTAACATATTGCAGACACCCTGTTAATTTCCTCTTTTTGCAGCTTTCAAGCATTTTAAATACACTGCAGAGCCTTTTCCATTTGGATTCAGCCACGGTAAGCTGTGGGAAATATGTTTATTATTTATGATGCTGTCTGTAAACGTGGTATTTTGTTTACTCGCTGCAAAGAGCTGTCGATACACCATGTGTGGTGTCGAATTGAATTAGAGAGAAAACCACGCCCAAACGGCCCGGATGTGTCCTGGATACACAGGTAACTACATTGGTCAACACCGTCCGTAAAGCAATGGCAAATGCTTACTCTAAATGGCATGAAAGCATCGCTAGCTGCAACCCGGTCACACGTGCAAAACATAAGGCATAAACCAGCCGTCGCTCTCAGACGCTTTGTGAATTCAGGTCCAGACCTCGACAGTCAAAGTAAAGGCAGTTTTAGAATAAATACACGCTATGGTCCCCTCGCTGCCTTGTATGCTACATCCTACTGAGGTAGACAGATGCATACTGCAGTAGTCACCTTGCCAACCCCACACTCCCTGATGAGGCAATATTTATCTACACTAAACAAGCAGCAGAATCCTTTGTAGTGCACATTAGCCTAAAATAATAAGTACATACTTCTTGGATGTTGCAGTTCTGTAATACTTAAGCTACTGTTCCCATATTTCTACACAATACATTAGCCATATTGTGCATAGTCATTCTTTTTAGACTTAACAAGGGTCTAATGAAAAATCAGTTCCTTAGAGCTGAAAAGGCTGCAAAAATATGCCAGACTCTAGCACACATCCATGCTTTATAACAGAATTGGTCACCTTTCATGTTGCCTTACTGGCTGTAACACATATCTTTAGTTGATACCCTCAAACACTGAGCGTAGTTAAGATGCTTCTTTGTTGTTGTATTTCAAGGAATACCCGACAGCGGTTTCCAGGCACTCCACCAGGGAGCCTGCTGAGAGGAAGTCCAGCTCCACCTCAATGAATTTGATGTAAATGGCTAAACGCTGAGATGAGTCCTCCCCTCCCTCGCCATCCAGACTTGTGGCGGCGACACGGCAGTTCTCCTGCAGTAAACGCGTCACAGCAGAGGGTTCGCTGTGGCTGTAGTGTTTGCCAGAACCCTGAAAGTGCTGGAAGAGACACTGCTGTATGGTCCTATCCTCAGCTATGCCTAAGTAGCAGTAAGTGACTTTGAGCCCAGTCCTGTCACCTTTCCCTTCTCCGTCAGCCTGTGCCCCGTTCTCTAACTCGCACTGAGGTAAGCTATGGTCTTCGCTGTTACCTTGGGGAGAGGTCTGAGCGGTGTCGCTAGAGGATGACACTTCCTCATAGCCAATAGCGTAGAGTCCGTACGCCTTGGGGATGTCCCCAGGGAGGAGGTAGTGGGATGAGCCTCTGCTGCAGCCTGCTGCCCTGGACTGGGATACAGGGATCCAGTCCACCTCCATGTGCAGCTCCAGGCAGCGCGCCTCGCTGATGGTAATGTCCAGGAACTTGTAGTAGACATTCTTCCAGTTCATCTTCTGAACTTTGGTCATGATGACGCGGCCCTCTGGCTTCTCTGGGTTGAAGTACTCGCGGAGCCTCTTTCCCAGCGGCACCTGCGAGCTGATTTCAGCATAGTGGTAACGCACGTCCTCGCGCCAGCGCGTGTTGTAGCCCACGCCGAAGATGGCCAGTTTGTTGGAGAGGTGCAGCCGCGAGAACTCGGTCCACGTCTGGAAGTGCTCCCATTTCAGCTGCACTGACTCCAGGATACGCATCACAGTCTGCATCATGTCCCTTTTTCTACAGAGAACCCAAGACACAAAATAATGACAAACTCATACATGTTTTCCATGTTAGAAAGTGCTGCAACGACCTGTCAGACAAAATAGGCAAGTAGCACCTTGTTAGCTTGGTTTTCAGAGAAACTGCGGCTTAGAATATTCCTGTTACCTCTGCCCAAAAGCTACCAGATGGTTAGAAGAGCTCAGTTTTAGAGGAACAGCAGCCTCTAGTAAAATATGTGCATCAATAGTTCTACAGATGATCAGCTTATGTAAAAAAATTATGAAATGATTTCCCCATCTCTTGTGATGCCTTTAACACAGTGAAAAGGGCACAATTTTAATAGGGCTGGTTACTGAAACACGGTGCCAATACGGCAGTGGTTCCTATACAACCAGTATATGTACCAGACCGAATCATAACACAGATGTCGGTGCTAGAGTTTTCTATTTAAATAGTTGCCCTCTGTTTACAAGCAACAGAGGCAACACATGCTATCACTAGTTAGAATTACGGCAACTCTCTCTCTACATGGCTCTGGCAGCAGATAGCCTTCCACTAGCTAGCAGCAACCTTAAAAACTGTTAATGCCAAGCTAAATGGTGTAAAGTGCAGCTGTATTTTACTCAAAAGGATTCATTGATGATGACAACAGCAGCATTCCCTCAGGTTAACGAATATGATCATATTTCATCAAGAACTGATGAAGATCAAGAATTGTTGTTTGTAGAAGAACTCAAAATTAGGGATGGATTTTTGTTTTTTGCATAAGAATGAAACATAAATTATTATTATGGACTGATCATTTACTGACTGTAATTATCCTGATAATTCATAAAAAGAAAAATGTCCCATAATTGGCCCGATAATTATTGTGCATCCCTACTCAAAATGTATTTGCTGTTTACTGTAACTAGGGATGGGAACCGATTTTATTGATACTAACACCATTATCAATTCTGCTTATTGGTCTGATTCTTTGACGATTCTGTTATCGATCCCTGATCAATTTTCTGTTTAGTAAAGTAGACATACACAGGTTTTCAGCCTCAATGAAACCGTTTTATTATCTCTGAGTCTGAACACGACACAGTGTAGTTTGAGTCTCTTTGTCAAATGAGGCCATGTTTTTGCAACTGTCAGAAAAGCATGATGGCATTGATAAGAAGGAAAGAATAAGCTCCGTGGCATCTGATTCCAATGGATTTGGGACTGGTCCTTAATTCCCATCCATAACAAATTAAACATCCTAAATCAAACCTAGACACATCTTAAAGATAAGATAATCTTTGTTCAGTTGAATGTTTAATGCTGGTTTTAGGATGAAGGGCTCTGGACTGTTTCAACTGGCAGATTGAGAATTAACTGCAACAAGAAGTTCTGAGAAATGATGTGTTGGCTTTTCAACAGTAATTTGCAATGAATAAGTCTAATTCACAACTTTAAATCAAACATTTAATTTACAAAGACAAAGAGTGGAGTTAGCCTTTGATGTAGTTGACTTACTGAGTTTGTTCTGACAGCTCTGCTTGAATCTGCAGAGCTCTGTTTTTAGGCACCTGGATTTCTTCTAGAGAGAAACAAACACACATATTACATATAGTTCAAACCCATTGTTTCTGTGTCTTTTATTACTATCTGCCCTCTGCTAGCTAACACACTCACCAGTCTCCATGTCTCCCTCCTGGAAGGCGGAGTCCAGCACCTGGTTGCACCAGTCCTCCTGGGAGAAGTCTTCCAGGGTGCTGCCATCGGACTCCATCTCCTGATACAGCCCACTGCTGTTGATCAGCACCGGGGCACAGCTCTGGGAGTCCCAGCCTCCCTGACCAAACACCTTCTCCAGCTGCTCAATAGTGTAGCTGCTCTTCCTTTTGCCGATGCCGTGCTCCTTCACACGGCTGTAGCAGCGCCGCAGTGTCTGTATGTGACGGGAAGGTAAGTGAAGGATTTACTCAGCTGTTGTTCCAGTCAACTTTGCTGGGGCAGTTCTACAGTGTGGTGACCGACAGGAAGGGTCACAATGAGAGACACTGCTTCATGCTTCAATAAAAATACATGGTAGGTACTTACAGCAAGTTCAAGGAGCTTTCATGTTTAACAGGTTTGGTTCTGATTCTGGACTGAAATACGTTTTAAATTGGGATGAACCAATCTGATCTGTTGGTCCAATATCAACCCGAGACTGACCTTATTGAAGGGACATTTACAAAATACATACTTATCCTCTTACCTTTAGTGTTATATATCCATCTGGCTTGTTTTATTGAGTTGCTGAGTTTCCGCGATACTAGCCTTCTCTTCAGTATGATGGAACCAGATGGTACTCGGCTTGTGGTGCTCAAAGCAACAAAAAAATGTATTTGAAAAACTCAACAGCAACGTTTCTTTCCAGAAATCATCACCTGGTTACTTAATACAATTGGCATACATTGTTGTGAGCGGAACATCTGAGACTGTACTGATCCATCCACGTTCAAATCCCTAATCAAAACCCACCGTCTCTGAGTACCAAGTGCTCTATGAATAAAATGTATTATTATTGGTATTCATGTAGAAAATATTTTCTTTCTATGTATCACAGCGCAGAAGGAAGTGTCCACCTACTCATGAACGAGTGGCTGTGACACTGCAGGATGTAAACATTAATGGCGTCCTCCTACGCTGAGCTGTAACGTTAGCTAGCTCACCTACCACCACTGAGACAGCAAATGTTCAGCTTTTGTTTGTTTGGTACAGACCTCAACAAATGTCACATCGTCACAATAATAACAGTTGATCATTTCCACTAATCATGACTCATATTGCAATCGTAGTTTTTGTCAAAATAATTGCAATATGATTTTTACCATATCATGCAGCCTTCATTTGCTGATTTGAGCTCCACAAGAGTGCCATCTGGTTCCATTATATTAAGAAAACAGCAACTCACACCAAAACTATCTGGATGGATGAATAGCACTACAGATAAGAGGAAAAATAGCTATATTCGATTTTGGGTTAACTGTCCCTTTATTAAATGGAGCAGGTGTCATTTGGGCACCACCGATTCACATTTAACACACTACTACCATTACTCTGCACTTCCTGTATGTGCTGCACAATAAATACATTTAAATGTGAAGGCTGTGGTGGGCTTTTACTGAAAAACTGGAAATGGCAATGCTATTTGTGATTAGATAACATTAGCATAGATTGACACTGTATAGTTTTATATTTGCTGCACTTTGTCAGTTAATTGTGTGGAAACATTACGATGATCTAAAAGCTCAATGAAGGGAAGTGTCTCAGAAAACAAGGACCAACTTTAACAGACATGTTCTAAGACATAAAAATACTGGGCTCATACTAATAAAAATCATCATATACATAAGAACATATTAAAATACACAACACCATGAATATAAGATAAGCTAAAAACTAAATACCTATACTATACAGTGTGAGATGTCTACAATTCAGAAGTCAAATAACTTAAGCATATTAAAAAAAGACAATCATGAACTAAAAAAAGAAAATCTTAAACCTTAAAGTGCTAGAGGTTTACCATTCAAGATTGGAGCAGCCTCAAGAAATGCACTTCTTTTAAAGCCCTTGGATTTAAAACGGAGTTGTCTGAACCTCCTCCCAGAGGGTATTACCTCAAAGACAGGAGCTGCTGGGTGAGAATCATCTCTAACTACATCCAGAGTCTTTTAGTGAAGCCAAACTTCAAAAAAGGATGAGAGGGAGCATTGTAGATACCATCTTAAAGTTGCCACAGGTAACTTTTAGAAAAATAACTTTTTGTCATATTAACTTTCACTATATCCTGACAGTAGTACATGAGACGGATAAAAAAAGAAAGACAAAAATCTACTTCCTCTGTCCCCTGAAAACAACCCATCAGAGCTGAGACAGACATAAAGACTTTTTGGGGTGGAAGCTTGAAGATAGTTGATCAACTATCTTTCTCAGCTCTAACTTGTTGTTTTGGATTAGGCCGGTGGATCCTTTAAATCCCATCAGGAGCACTAGGAGGAGCCCGAGGAACCTGATTGTTTCACAGATTATCTGTCTCATGTTCTACTGTCAGGATATAGTGAAAGATACAGCAAATATGACTAAAAGTTATTTTTATAAAAATTACCTACTGCAGCTTTAACTATTGTAATTTAGTTTTTTTTCACAGTTTATTTTATAGTCCCAAGAAATTTGAATTCTTTCAAATTTCAAGAAGTGTTTTTCTTACCCTCACCTCTACTGAAGTCTATGAGCATCACTTTTGTTTTTCCAATGTGTCTGATATGGGGATGTACGATAATTATTGGGACAGATATATTATCGCCTAGTAATGGGAAATTTATATTATTATAAATGATCCTGATAATTAAATTACAGACAATAAATTATCAGACCATAATAGGCTTTAGGTTTAATGAAAGCAGGTTACAGGCTGCAGGTTATGGATTTCTTTTTAAAATACAAAATTGGTTGAAATTGAAATGATTGGTTATGTTATCGTGCATCCCTATCTGATATGTTTTATGGCAGTTAAATAAACTAGTTAGCAGTCTGTGAGGAAATGAATGTGAAAACATCCTTCT